CCAGAACGAGTCCAATAATTTATCGCATCCAAGAATTTAGCCAAATAAGAGCTCCATCCCTTAATAATATCTCTTAAATCAGCCAATGATATGTAATTTATCATGCTGTCATATACTATTGCCTTAAGGGATGGGATCTGAAGCTCGACGAGAAGCCAATGTTTACGTTCCAAAACAGGGATAAACACCTACAATCATAAGTAATAATTCATTCATTTGCGCACTTATTTATGAATACCTTTAAACTCAATCTAAAATAAACATTAACCTTATCGACCTCCCACCATGCAGGATAAAGTTTAGCTTGTCCATTGCCCAACGCAAATGATTCATCTCGTTGATTCTTCAAGTGAGCGGTGTTAAAAGACGTCGGCATAATTGTATATCGTGTATTTCTTTTATTTTCCTTAAGTTTCCTAATTATTAGAAGACGTGACACCTACGCATCGATATGTTGTTTTACAAAAAAAGACATATATTAGTAATTTACATAAATTTTAAAAAAAAATAATCAAATTAAAATATAAGAAAAATATAAGACTTACCCTTCCATCGAAATAGCCATTGTCTTCGACCCCTAATAATACGCCCCACCAAGACCGATCAAGCAACAAATAGATATCATCGTTGAGCTTGCATATGTCAGTGAAACACCCCTGGCTCCGCTCATGTAGATAAAAATCAACTGCGGTCTTAGCCCAAAGGGTGTTATCCAGAATTGTGTCCGGTAGTTGTTTCCTCTCCACTTCAGATACCGGTATGGTACTGGCCGGTAACTCATACGAGAGCCAACTTGAATCCATCATGTCCGGCACGTCAGAGGGTTTATCAAGAATCCTACATAAGACGCCATGTGAATCGGGCTCTTGAATGGTGGGAGGGACCTCTTCAACGATGACAGTGGCCTCTTGAACGGTGGGAGGGGACTCTCGCGGAATGATAGGGGCCTCTTCAACGATAGGAGTGGACTCTTGAGGGATGATAGGCGAGTCGGGCTTCTTCTTGCGGTGTCTTCGCACTATTGGGGTATACGGAGACTTAATAGCACGTGCATGCCGTCTGATGCGTGAACTCTGTCTTGCAAGAAAAACCCGACGTAAAGCATCCACCTTATCGGTCCGCTAAATAATTAAATACAAATATCAGTAAATAAACAGACATGATATTTAAACAGTGAAAACAAAGACAAATATATTTCAAACTTTCAACCAAAAGACAAAACAAAGACAAATACTAACTTCACAGTGTTAAAGAATACACAGTTTAGTAGAATTGGCAGCAACCGAATAAATTTACTTCAACCAAAAGACAAAACAAAAAGACAAATACTAACTTCACAGTGTTAATAAACAGTTTAGCAGTATTGGCAGCAACCGAATAAATTTACTAAGCAATCTAAGTGAAATGGTTAATTTAAGTGAAATTACGAGTAAATTTATCATCAAGTTAAATATGGAAAATCTTAAACTTACCTCGTTGCGTAGAGTATGAACCTCATTCTGCAACGATACTACCATCTCACGTAGAGCGGCAACCTCACCACGTAAAGTAGACACCTCCACACGCCATGCACCATCGTTATCGCGTAGAGTACCGATCTCCTCACGCAAGGCATTGACCTCATCACGTAACTCCCTTGACTCATCCCGTGGAGGTGGAGAACAGGGAGATAGAAGTCGTGGCATCTTTTCCGGTCGCCTATCATGAGGTGATGGTGGAGAAGAGGCTCGATGATGTGACGGGATAGGTGATGGCTCTCGTTGTAGAGGTGTATAGTCGGGTCGATCAGGTGATGGCTCTGGGTGAGGTGATGGCTCTCGAAGTGGAGGAAGTGGAGGTTGCTCATCATTCGTGCCATCAAGAAAACGCTGACTAGCTTGCCACCAATCAATGGCAAGCTCAGCCTCCGTGGGTGTCAGTCTCATTAATGGAATGTTGGCCTCCTAAAAATATAAAAACTCAAACAAAGTTAAACGTCTACTATTAATAACTTGTTTATATATGATAGTATTTGTGTTAACTTACATTATTTATTGTCGCATATAGTATTAAGTCTTCCCAATCCAACAGACGTTTCCTCTTCCAGGAAATAGCCCTGGGAATATCATTTGAAGTTTTTATTGCATATGTCTTCATGGCGGGAAAGGCCTCGAATATCTAAATCTACAAACAATATAATAACAAACATTAGTAATTATTAAATAATTAATTATAATTTTGAAAACATTATATAGAAATTCTTACCTTAAAGGCCCAAACAAAGCCTGACAAAGTGTATTTCAACCCATCGCCCCGCAAACTTTTGCGGTCATCAAAGGCATACGACAACTTAGTCCAGGTAGCTTTCCATATATACGAACCCCACGGAAACAGATTCCATGCATTTAGGTCCTCTACCAATAATATTAGCTCCTGAGGAATAGGTTGTCTGGCCTCTCTGCCTAAAAAGCCGGCATACAAAAGTAGTAGAAGGCATACTCGGACAACATCGACGTCATTCATCCGAGTAAAACCATCTTTCTTATTAAACAATTTCTTCATGTCATCGACGTGTAAGTTCGGCTTCTCTATTGACTCATCAGGAAAAACCCTGGATAACCATGATGGGCGGGTGATATGACGAGTATACCGGCCTACATCATCGTGTCCGAATCGTAGACCAGTGATTAAGCAGAACTCATTCCGCCCAAAACAAGTATACGCCGGTGGAAAATGAAACCATATATCTTCCTCACCACGTTGTATACTGTCGGGTAGATCGCTAGTCATGGTCTGAAGCCACAAATGGGTCAAATTAGCATCTCCACCCGGATGTTGTACTCTCAGCCATGGCCCGAAGCAGGTTTCCTCAAACAATTTTCTTTGTGCAGGTGAAAGCTTCGAAGCAATTGTAGTGGCTAGGCTAACTTTATTCCTTAATGTCAATGAAGCCGAAAAAAATTTCTACAAAAACAATAAACATACCAAGTTAGATATACCAAAAACTACACTGTCAAGATATACCAAAAACAAGAAACATAAATAGTAGTTTATTCTTGAAACTAAAATTTGCAACACTATTTTGTCTTTTGGTTGAAATGAAAATCGCAACGAGATAATGAGAATCGCAACGCGGAAATGAATATCGCAACGAGAGAATCGCAACGCGAAATGACTATCGGGACGAGATAATCGCAACGCGAAATAAAAATCGCAATGCGATTTTCATTTCGCGTTGCGATAGTTATTTCCGCGTTGCGATTTTCATTCTCGAAACTATTCTTCTTCTGCATTACTTCAACCAAAAGACAAAACAAAGACAAATACTAACTTCACAGGCTAAACAGTTTAGCAGTATTGGCAACAATCGAATGAATTTAATAAGAAATCTAAGTGAAATGGTTAATCTATTATTGAAATTACCAGTAAACTTATCATCAATCTCAATATGAAAAACCTAAAATAATGCAAAAATTTCAACAACAAAAAAAAACTAACCCTCGGAGGTTGATTTTCCATTTCTGAATGATTGTGAGGGATTTCGCCGGCGATGGGGACGGAAATCTTCGGAGATGGGGACGGATTTCGCCGTAGAGAGTGAGAGATGGAGATGGGACTGAGTGTTGTGATTTTGGGTTTGAGGTTATGAGTTGCGATTACTGTGGACGGTTCAGTTTCTGATTTATTAAGAAAAAATTCGTGTTTGGAATTTGAAAAAAAATACGCGTTAATACGAATGGCGCTATGTAAATCGCGTTGCGAAAGTCAGAATCGCGTTGCGATTTTGTATTATCGTATTGCGATAGTAAGTATCGCATTGCGATAGTCAGTATCGCATTGCGATTTTTCCAATTCGCGTTGCGATTTACTTATTCGTATTTCGAATTGGGAAAATCGCAACGACACTGTAGACCATCGCAACGCGATTTCCAACTATCGCAACGCGAATTTGCGATAATGGAGATCGCGTTGCGAATTAGCGATCGCATTGCGATTTTGTTGGTCATTTTGGCAAATCCGGAAAAAGTTGGTTAAAATCATATATTATAAGGCATTTTTGGTCACTGAGGCGATTTTCTCTAAAAAAAACCCTTATATTTTAGATCATTGTATTTTTTTTTCAATTGGATCTTTATTTCATCTAATAAAAAGAAAATTATATATATATATAAGTCTACTTATATATATATATAAGTCTACTTATATATATATATATATATATATAAGTATGATGGTGGGTCGGTGTGTGTTTTTATCTTAAAAATTAAGTGTGCTCCTCTTAAATTTGGATTGTGTCGGGTGTGAGTAAAGTAATTTGATTTTTAGATCAAATTTGAATGGATAAAAAATTCGATCAGATCAGACTCGATACATAACCATTCCTAATTCCAACCAAATATATTTTTGATAATTTTTTATTTTTTTAAATAAAAATAAAATATTGTATAATTTCGTAAACCAAACATCTTTGCAACACTTTTACAAATCATTCTCATTCGTACTTTAATAGTGCAACAATATCCAACAATATCCAACAATAATGTTAGTAGTAATACGTACTTTTTTATTTTAGAAAATGAATGATTTAATATTTAGGAAGTGTCGGTTTTATTTTTTTAAAATATTTATTATTATTCTTTTTGCATTATGTAGAAAAATCAACTGTCCTTCTCTTCATATAATTCGGAGAGAGAAAGTGGAAGGCTTATCTTTGGGTGGCTGCAAACGACGTTTAACCGAAAAGGACAACAAATACAAATTCTTCGATTCGAAAAAAAGAGAGAGACAAACAAATTTTCTTCTTCTCCTCCTTACTTAACGTTGAGAAGAGAAGCAGTAGAGAGATTGTTTCCCTTCACATAGATTTAGATTTTCAATTATATTCTTCTTTGTCGTTAATGGTTTTTGGTAGCCCATTTCATCAGCAGCGGCCGCACAGAGAGGCCCAGCTCCAATATCAACAATGATAACACTGTTTTTATGTAGTCTTTTAGAATTTTCAAAGAAGTTCCTTAATTTTAACAGCTTGAAAAGGTCAATTAGGTGGGCTTTATTTTTCCTTCCTAGATTTTTTTTTGATTCTCTGCGCTTTATTTAATTGTGTTCTTTGATTTTTGTTTTGTTTTATGTTGAGAAAAGTAGAGGATGAATCACTGCATTCCCGATTTTGAAATGGAAGACCATAGTTCAATCCCTTCAATTTCTAGATTAAATCGCTTTAAAAAACCATCCATGTAAGTTGCTGATTTGCTGTTTTTTAACTATAGTTCTTACTTCTTAGAATGAAAATTGTGTTTTGGTTAAGAACTGAAGAGGTTATGGAACAGGCCAGAAGATGAAATCATGGAGCTATTGTGGCAAAATGGTCAAGTTGTTGTGCAAAGTCAGAATCAAAGATCTTTGAAGAAGCTACCGCCGATCAAATTCCACGACGCCGACCAACCAGGTTCGAAAGAGATCCGATCATCGTCATCTCATCATCAGCAACAACAACAGCAACAGCAATCCGTTACTGATCATCTCTTCATGCAAGAAGATGAAACGGCTTCATGGCTTCACTATCCTCTCAGTGACGCTAACTTCGACAAAGATTTCTGTGCCGATCTCCTCTATCCTTCCTCCTCCACCGCCGTCGCCCCCTGCGCTACCTCCACCGCTCCTCCTCCATCACTAGGAAGAGTTCCTCAACTTTTGGTTTTGGCTTCAGCTACGGCTATGGCGCCAGCTCCTAGGCCACCGATACCACCGACAAAGAGGAAAGGGTTGGAGTCGACGAGGATCCTGAACTTCGTTAACTTCTCCAAGCATAGAACGGCGAGAGCGGAGCAATCTGGACCGTCGAATTCGAAGAGTGTAGTAGCGAGGGAATTGACAGTCGTTGATTCCTGTGATACTCCGGCGATGGATCCCGAATCGGGAGCCTCTCAAGCTATGCCGAGCTGCACCGAGGAAGCATCAGGCGGGGACAACAACAATACCTGCGCCAACATGAGCGGCGCTATAGCTGCCAACACGCAATCAGCTGGTGCCAGTTTAGGTGCCAGCAAAGACAATTTAGCCACGTGCGAAGTCATGGTGACATCATCACCTGGCGCCTCCAGTGCCAGTGCTGAACCGACGGCTCAGAAGCCTGTCCAAGCTGAGGACCGGAAGCGTAAAGGAAGAGAACCGGACGACGCCGAATGTCACAGTGAGGTTAGTTCATTGGAATTAGTAATTCTTTTCTCTAATTTGCCTCGGCTAACGTGCGCCCGGATGGGTGATTAACACTTAACATCTTTTAGAGTGAGTATCCCCTCTCTTTGTCACCTGGGGGTATAATTTCGAGGTCGTACAAGTGTCATAAACATCGATTTAGAAGACGCCACGTGTTTGAATAATTGCGGAAGCTAACACGAATTTTATATTATTGGAAGATGGAGGAGGCTTGCAGTGTTAACTTTTTATTTTTATTATTTTTATTTTTGGAAAAAATTGGATTTAAGGCGAGTATCACGGGAGTGGTTTCCTCCTCGCCATTACACCCCAGTTGTTGTCGGTTAGCATTTGCATAAATTTTGTTTTAATTGCTTAAAACATTCTCTACTGTTTAGCAGCTCTCGTTTAGCTAAATGTTACTTTATCTAATTTTTAACGTTGAGTGCATGCGAATTCTGAAAAAAAAAATCAGCCTTTTTGCAATCCTAGATACTAGGTAGTATGAAACATTATTTAAGGAATAATCCGGTTAATCATTGATTATAAAGTATTAAACACATGCTAATTATTATTTAATAATTTTGTTTGCAAGTGTCATTAAAAAAAATACTATTTAAGGTTACTATCCAAAGTTATTATCCAAGCCATATAGAATAAAATTATCAACACCTTTTAATAAATATATTGTTTGTGCTATAAACAGTATATTAATTATAAAAATGTACTGATAGATACTTTTTAACCAAAATTATTTTTTAATTACTATTTTTTTTAAAAAGTGTTTTTATTTAATGTACTACTTTTGATGAGTTCTTTCTAATGGTACCTATATTCTTCCAGTGCTGTCAATATCCTCGAGTCTTGATGGCAACTGATTCAATGGAAAAGTTAAGAGATTATTTTACAAAGAAATCATGTTCTCTAGGAACTGTTCACTCATCAAGCTTAGAGAGCTTATTTAGCATGTGAAAACACCAAATATGAATGATGATATATAACTCCAGGTCTCTAGGGTGAATTTAAATAGAGCATAAGAGTTAGTCCACTCTGAATCCTTTTATGATCATAACAGTATGATATAAATTAGATTAACTCAAGATTTATTTTGTCAAACCATCAAGAATAATAAATTAAATGATAGACACTGAAGTGTATCTGAATCCATTGATATGTTAAAACCTTTTGACTTTTTTGTTTTTGTTTTAATCTTCCAAGAATATTTTCTCTTGTTGTAAAACTCTCTTACGACATGAAGATGAATAGAAGTTAACCTATTTTTTGTAGATCATTACCTCTTTATAAAATTAATTAGTAATCATTTTTTAAATATTTATAATTTTGTCCTTTATCAAAGTATAAATACAATTTATGGTATCTATATTTTTTATGGCACTTTACATAATTATTTACTTGATTTTGTAGCATACTTGATAATAACATTATACATATTTGTCCACAATTGCGGATTTTAATCCAACACTTATGTCTTATTTTCTATATTTAAATGTTGGGAAACCAAATTAAATTATGGAAGCATCTATAGTCTTTCTTCTTTCAGAAATGTGGGAGGGTTCTTATTGTTTCTTGTTTAATTTAATTACATAAAGTTGAAAACTAAAACTATATGGAGAATATATTCTTTAGTCTTAACTCTTAATACTATTTCACATGCTTCCTAGGTTCCCAAGTACAAGTCAGTTAAGTAGCCAACCATATCAGGGTAGTCAAGAACACAAGCTTTAGGGTACCCTTTTTGTAAACTTATGAGGATGCTTAAACCAGGCAAAATAGACATAACCCCATAAACGTTGAGATTTAGGATAGCACTATGTGTTCTAATCTGTTAAAACAGAAAACCAATCACTTCATTTATCTCCTTTCTCTCAGTTAATTTTTTTCTTCATGCTTTTTAGTTTCTTACTAACACTTTTCATTGTTGCCAAAGGATGCTGAGTTTGAATCCGCTGACAAAAAGAAACAATCGCGTGGATCCACATCCACGAAAAGGTCCCGTGCTGCAGAGGTCCATAACCTCTCGGAGAGGGTAAGTATTTAATTGGCATCATGGTACATGGTCTTTTTCTTCTATGTAATTGCATTCCATTATATGTGTTTTCTCGTTCATGTGCAGAGACGCAGAGATAGGATAAATGAAAAGATGAGAGCTTTGCAAGAACTTATTCCTCGTTGCAACAAGGTTTGTCATGTGCATGACTTCCCTTAAATCTGCACTTAACATTGAAGATTTGTTTTTCCCAATTTGGATATTTCTCACTCTACCGTTATTGACATGTTTCATTCATTTTTACAAGTCTCAGTCAGACAAAGCTTCAATGCTGGATGAAGCAATTGAGTACCTGAAGTCACTTCAGTTGCAAGTTCAGGTATGTCTTTGCCTATAGCTAAGGAGGGATGTGTGAGATAATATAACTGGCCAAGATTTATTTTCTTACAACTCTATACTTCATGGAGTGATATAATTGGGTTATTCCTCTTTATAGTAATATTATTGTGTAAAATGCCAATAATAGAAGTAAATTTTGTTTGTTTTAAATACCTAATACATTTTTGTCACGTATGAGGATCATGGATTAATAGCACTAAGTCCTTAATCAACAATCTTTTTTACCTGCCTTATTATGAATGTTTGTGGAACGGTTAATCACAGGGACTTTTGCCATTGTAGTGAAAAAAAGATAATAAGATTTCACCGAACACCACCAAGCTCAAGAAGCAAGATCTCTTTTGGGGACATTATTTTTTACTTGATGTAGATGAGTAGATATATTTTGAATTTTCAAGCTTTTTTTGCCCGTTCTTTTCCCTAGCAGGATGGCTAATCTAAGACTAAGAACATTTTGTTGGGATTGTGCTACACAGAATGAGCTTGTACATTATTTATGACAGTTTTAGATTTTAATTTTCTGCAGATGATGTCCATGGGTTGTGGCTTGGTCCCAATGATGTTTCCTGGTGTTAAACAGTACATGCCGGCAATGGGAATGGGAATTGGTATGGGCATGGTCATGGATATGGGAATAAATCGGCCAATGATGCCGTTTCCGAACGTTTTGGCTGGCTCAGGTTTGCCAACAGCACCTTCTGCAGCTCATTTGGATCCAAGGTTTCCTATGCCAGCCTTTCATATGTCACCACAAGTTCCAGCTCCTGATCCATCAAGACTCCAACCAAACAATCAGTCAGATGCCATGCTGAACCCACTTGGCATGCAAAACCCAAACCAGGCACGGATTCCGAATTTTGCTGATCCTTATCAGCAGTATATCGGACTTCATCAGATGCAATTACAACCTCCACAGGTAATGTTTAGCTTGTCTTACCTTTTGTATAAGCTTATCACTGAATGTATGATAGTTTCTTGAAAAAAAATTAAAAAATACTGGTAAGTCCTCATTCACTGCTTTTCTCAGCTATTTCTAGGCTTGAAAACTTGCAAATCTATTTTCTAACTATATCATGTTTATTTTCCTCAAGAAAACTTTACTTGGACGATTGATCAACATCAGCACAATCACATAGCGACATAAAATTTACTTATTGGCATGAAGTGTTTATCACAAATTTCTCCTTTTGCAGTGTCGAGCAATGGCTCAGCCAGGCTCAAGTAAACCGAGTACCGGTAAGGGACATGAGAATGTTGAAAATCACCCATCAGGTTGGTCCATTATTTTCTAGTTTCACATTACTAAATGAGGGTTACAGCCAGTGGTGGATCCACTAAAGCCAGTGGTGGATCCACTAAACCCTAAACCCTGAAATCCGAGTTTTCTTCGGATAATTACTTATTTTACTGATTGTGCCCTCCTTTTGTGCCCGTCTTGTTTTAACCAAGTATACTCTGCTCCCACATTGAATGACATGGTTTTACCAATTATATAGAACTTCACTTGCACATTGAAACCAAGTTAAAATGATTTGCCATGCCAGTTCCAATGAGGAATGAAACATATTTATTAGCACATAATTAAAAAAATGGCGGTTACTGTCTAATTATGGATGATTTCTGATTCAACTTCCTTTTGTAATATTATGAAAGGTGATATGGCACAATAGCTCCAGCGTCTCAGCTGGCTAAAATTTACCGGCTACTTTCAAACTGATAGCAGATATCGAGATCCGAATTCCGGTCAAGGTGTTGCTTGTTTATTCCTTTTACTCCGCAGCATACAATGTCAAAGAGAGTTCATGTGCATTGCAGGTTGATAATTCAAGCGTGGATGATTCCCGAAAGGTTCTTACTTAACCTTTCTACAGTTTTGTAGCATAAGAGAACAACATCCTGTTTGAGAGAAACCTTTTTTTTCTCACTTATCTAACTTGTTGCAACTTATAACACATCTAACATGTAATAATTGCACTACCATAGAAATAGTTCCATACGCTCAAGTTTCACTCTCTTTTAGCTTTGTGTCCCCCAGGCGTTTAGACAGTAGAATCAGGGTTAAAAGGAAAAATGTTTTCTTGGCTTGGCGGAGGCCGTTGGTATGGGTATAGACTATATAGCCTTTTGATTAGGACTAGTAAACCCAACTTGCAGAATTGAGAAAAATGTGTTCCGGGTCAGGCCTAAAAAAGGTGAAAAGAAAGTTTGTCTTCATCAGTGAACTTATTCCTGGAATTGTGGTCCAGTAAGTATATAGCCGTCGAGTTTCTAAGCACTAAAACGGAATACGAAACAGAGTTCTCAAAAGGAATCTTCGGTAGCCACATGAGTTTCGACTATATATATGAAGTTGATTCGGATCAAACCTTTAAAGGAGGAACAAAGCTGTCCCAACTTTACCTTTCATAAAATTCGAACCCGAAATCATACTAGGACATAAGCTCCTTACAGCTCGACTCGACTTTAGGTTTCGACTTTTAGAGAGGTCTCTCATCTGCAACAACATAGCTGTCATTGTCCGAACCGTATAAAGGTGCAAAGAGAGAAAAAAGAAGAGTCGCTGTTACCTTTGCTTTGTCCCAATTCTGAGAACCTTGGAGAGGTGTGATTGCATGCGAGAAATGGTCCCTTTTTATCCTCTGAAGTGCACGTATAATTGACAACTTTGCAGCAAAGTAGTCCAATAAAATGGAAAAAGGCATAGCATGTATTGCTCACTAACCAAGGGAATACAGACATTAAAGTAATCATGTTGCTGAGAATATAATGTAAGAGTAGAGGGGTCCCCATTATTCTCTAGTGTAGACTAAGCATCGTCAAAATTAAAAAGATTATTATTTGACGATTACTGGAACTGAAAATGTCAGCAGTATGTGTCTAATATGAATATGAACATGTATGTAATATATTTAAATATAATCATTTTTAACTCATCAAACAATCTCAATAATAGAAGTATTGTTATTCCTAGATATTTTAGGTTTAAGCAGTTACGTTTACTGGATGTATGTATTATCAATGACTAATAAAGATTATGAACAAATATTATTTTGTAATCACCTCAAATTATTATATATATATATATATATATATATAATTCTTTTAATAATATACACCCAAGATCTCAGCTTCACAATTCCATTTTTGTCTAAATTACGGAGTAAATGGACTTTTAGATGCAGTATTCCGTTAGTTTATATACTAGACATTCGCCAATGAGTACTGCATCCTCAAAATTGTCGACATTCTCATGACATTATAGCTATTAGTACGTTTTTGCCTAAAGCGAGTTCATCTCGAATCGTAGCAGCAGCATCCGTTAAAATTTATCCCGTTCTAATACATTTATCTCATTGAACTCAAGTAATTTGATGTATACAAGTATTTTTGTTGGAACGTCCCTATATAACTAAAGAAATGTCTAGAGTATCTATATTATAATTATTTTTTATTGAAATGTCCGAAAACATTATTGATAATTTAGATAATGTATTAAATACAATAAAAAGGTGTTTATATTCCGTTCATCTAATGTGAAAATAAAGGTCATCAAAGGTTTTTCGCCTAGATATATAAGTATAGACATATTTTAAATTTCACTTATTAGAAGAGTGTACTTCTTTTTTAATTCTTTTATTAAAGAATAATAAGTTGCATTTATTTTATTTATGTATACATTCTAACTTTTTATTTTATTTTATTATAGATGGGGTTTTATTTCAATTAACATAATTGTTGTTATAACACTAAAAAAATAAGTGAATTCAAGCATACTTGAATCGATATTATCCTCCTATTTTGGGTGGAATTTGAATATTCTTTTGATTAATTTGGCAAAATAGTATATATTCAAACACTCTCAATCATTTGATCAGGGACGGATCTATAAAGCCTTGTGCGACGTGGATGTTAAACTTAAAAGATTGAATTTGAATCTACGATTCAATTCAATAGACTTGAGTGATTTTATGAAGAATATTTGAATGATGAATTGTAATATATAAAATTAAAAGATTGAATTTGAATTTTGGATTTTTATTTTATTTTTTTCTTAATGAATTTTATAATACTTATTTTAGACTCTCATTTTTTTAGTTTATAGATCTGTCACTGCATTTGACATTAAACACTTACATCCCTACATATATGATAAAATTTAGATAATTTAACTACACATAACACGAATATATATAATTTATGAGTATTCATCTCTTAATGAACTTATGAATGTGACCCACGTATACTTACACGTTCTCTTTCTGTATAATCGAAACTTATTTTTAACTTAATTTGGAACACGTCTAAACAAAGCCTAAAGGCCTTGTTTAGAACTAATATTAGGAACATTTGCTTGCATAATAAGGTTGAACATTATTTAGGAACTTGGTAATCAGTTTTTTTATTTTAATTCATACACTCTTGCGTAATTCATTTGATGCAAGGGGAAGTAACATTTTTTGTTTAGGGTTTCAAAAAAGATTCAACCTCCCATAACAACATTATGTAAAACTGCCATTTTTATCATCTGTTGAGCACTGAGAGAACTTCAAAGTAGACGATATAACTCAGTGTGTCTTTGAAAATGCATTGAAAGGATTAACATTTCAGATGCTTCCTAAAACTTGACAAGAAATTGAAAATCCACACAGCTGAAAACCAGTATTACCCGATAACATGAATATCTTGAAATTGTACTACATATAAAGTCCTTCCGGAACGCCTTCTTTCTTTTTGAACATCACCTTTTCCTTGGCCTTCTTAAAGTCCGCATGAGTCACCTACAACCCCGGACCATTCGAAATCAGAAACTTGGATCAAACAATTACTTGACACACCATTGATGCAAGATATAGATACATAACATCAGTAACGACGATTCATAACAGATTCCTCTTTAACACCATGAACACTAACCCAGGCAAAAATAGGTTGTAGAAGCATTGTATTAGCCTAAAATATTGAACCAAAGTAGGTTGTGAAGGAAACTACCCTAAAATTTAATATGAAGCATTCTACTTGCAGACAATAAACCCCTTTTCCCGCTAACAATGACAAGTTAACAGGTTTCTCAGTATCCTAAGAAAAAATAAAAGCAAAAGGAGAATTATATGCCTGAAATTTCAAGATATATGTGAAACATAGGCAATGCTAAATTGCTAATTGATAATAATCAGGTTGGAACTATAAATTATGGTACCTATAGATCCAGAATATAATCCTATATAATAAAACTTAAATCTCAGTTAAGCAATCAATCTGGTTTAGATTCTATCACTTGTGTGCATAATGTAAACTTGTAGAACTAGAATCAAACTTGGATGTTAGAAAAAAGAAGCCTCACCTTCATGCGTCTCTCCCTTAAAGCAAGCAAGCCAGCCTCGGTACATATGGCCTTTATATCAGCTCCGGAGAACTCATCTTTTGTCATAACAAATTCTTCCAAGTTCACGTCATCAGCCAATGTCATCCTTGATGTATGTATCTGCAGTCCAAATGTTTGAAAAATGGGCTAGTATAATGAAAAGAAAGAGTGAAACATATTTGATAGAGTGTTCCAATACATCATAAGACAATCACATACCTGGAAAATACGCCTTCTTGTTTTGATGTCAGGTAGGGGAAATTCGATCTTCCTATCAATTCGACCAGGGCGAAGCAAAGCTGGATCAAGACTTTCAATTCTATTTGTTGCAAGAATCACTTTGACATCTCCTCTTGAATCGAAGCCATCTAACTGGTTCAGCAACTCCAACATGGTCCTCTGAATTTCACGTTCACCACCAGAATGGGCATCATACCTGTACGGAGATTAATGAGAAATATTCGAAATGTATTTCTACCGAGGCCTAACAGTTTCACCAACTTACCTCTTAGTACCAACTGCATCAATTTCATCAATGAAGACAACTGAAGGGGAAAGATCGTCAGCAACTCTGAAGAGTTCCCTAACTAATTTTGGGCCATCTCCCAAGTACTTCTGAATTAATTCACTTCCAACAACACGTAAGAAAGTCGCTGATGTGGAATTAGCCACTGCCTGGAATAATGTAAGTGAAAAAAAAAAGCTCAGGTATATTTTATAAAGCAGAAAAAACCTGAACAACCATGTGATACCAGTTTAAACAAGGACTCATGGACAAGGTAAAAAAATATTAGCAATTGCATATTGCATGCAAAATGACAAGTCCATGCTATCCCTCTACTGCAATTTTTAGAAGCTTATCATGTTGTCCAAACATGTTTTGCCTCCCAACCAAACAACTTGCATGGTAAGAAAAATGTCTTGCTGGAGATAAACGAATACACACCTTTGCAAGCAAGGTCTTGCCTGTCCCAGGCTCTCCATACAAGATGACTCCTTTCGGAGGTTTGATACCAATGTCCTCATATAGTTCAGGGTGAGTCAAAGGGAGCTCAACTGCCTCTTTAATCTCCTGTATTTGAGCATCCAAACCTCCTATATCTGCATAAGATTCCAATGGAGCCTTTTCGACCTTCATCACTGATACCATGGGATCAACTTCATCTTGCAGAAGTCCAACAACAGAAAGAACCTGAGAACATACAATAACCAAGCATGAATTTCCTTCCAAGAACACAAGAAAGATCGAACATAATGCCTTAAAGATGCTTACAATCCAGTCAAAGGAGACACAGAACCCTTAAACAGAAGAAGAGGTATCTGATTTACCCTTTCAAGATTTATAGACCCGAACAGTACACCTAAACACATGAATATCACCAGCTATGATAGCAAACTTGATAAGCAAAAACCCATCATGGCCTTGCTATCAATCATCAGTCACTCAAATTTATTTGAGATAACCTCTAGTTTGAGATCTAGAGAATGGATTGAACTGGTTTATGAATTTAGCTTTAATTAAAGGTTCAAAATTTTAAAGCTCGTCAATCTAAGCTAAAGCAATCATATGATTAAAACCCAGTTACTTGTTTATTCAAATTTCAAGAGAACTATAACATATTTGAAAATTTAGCAACCACAATTCTAAAATCTGGATAACAGCAGTGTCTATTATCTTCCAGCTACACAACCAAAATGCCATAATTTCCCTAGCACAGACTCTAAATGCACATTAAAGAATTAATTAATCTATAAGCTAAAAGAATTCTTAAATCGTTTTCCTCTAAAATCTCTAATAAAGAAAAAGTAATCATAAAACTAAAACAATAACAATAACAATAACAATAAAGCTTGAGACTTTAATTACCTTATTGTGCATCAAAATAGCACATCCAGGCTCCAACTGATCCTTATCAACGAAAGATAAAATCCCCACATAATACTCGGGCCCAACCGACGATGAAACAATCGCGTGGTTCTCATCGATAAGCTCCTCCAAATTACCCACACTCATCGGCGACCCTCTCAAATCATCGACTTTAGATCGATCCTCCTCTGCTTTCTCTTCCTGCGGCTTGAGCCTTTCCTGGTTAGCAACAAATTCTTCTTCCATCAGCAAATAGTCCTTGATCCGCTCCAACTTTAACAGCCGGAGCTTACACTTCGTAAGCGGCGTTACGGTGGGGAGACGAGCCGCGGCTTCGGGTCCTTTCTGGTTTCGCTGCTTGCGACCCACCCTGGCTGGCGGCGCCGCCGGCTCAAATTTCTTATCTTTCTTGTCAGAGCCATCAGGTTTCCGGTCACCCGGGAAACCTTTCCTATTCATACCGCCCGGTGTTCCTTGTCCCATTGTTCAGGGTTCGTATTAACGCCTCCGATATTCAGCTGAGATAATGAGAATGCCTTTGGGGGCTTTGAACAAATAGGTGCTTGGCTTTGGGATCAAGTTACCTTCCTTCTAGATTTTCTTTGTCCACCTTAATTATATTGAGAAAAACAGAAAATGGGCCTTTGAATTTGGATTTATTGTATTATGTAAGTTCTTCATCTCCTTGTGGGCCTTTCGGGACTCCTCATTGGGTCTTTTACTTCTTATTTTTGCAATTGATTTTACACATAAGGTCATGCTATAAATAGGTTTAATTTCAAGAAGAGCCCTTACCAAAAAATTATAAAATCAATTGAGTCCTCATATTTGTTCACTTAATTTAGATCTTAACATTACACTAAAATCAATTACACTCTTCCGTTAACATATATTATTTTAAATGATTATATCATTAATTATTGATGATAAGATAAATAAAATCCATTAAATGATGTCACGCACAATCGAAAGATATAGTTAATTATTTTTTCAGTAAAAATTTAAAAAATGTAAACATATTTTAAAATATTTTTTCGAAATTATAAAAAATTATACAAAAAATTATAAAATTATATATAACATTAATTTCTTTGACAACTTATTAATTTAGATCTTAATTTTGTATATATTAAATATAAAATTTCTCATCAAACAATATTAAATAAATCAATTAATATTATTATCACCTTCAAATTTCAATATTGGATAATCTCATATCAATCAACATTAATTATATATTCCAAGAAGTCTAAATTAAATTTTAATTTGGACTTCCTTGAAAATTACCCTGACCTTAATTATCTGGGCTAGGCTAATCTGCACGTGGGCCTATTCCTCAATTTTTGTGAGGTGGAGAGTAAGCATCAGGATTCCTGACGCTACAACATAAACAACTGGAAGATTTTCAACATCTCAGTTCCCCACCGCTTGGAGTATTCACATTCAAATTACGAGGAGTAACTAAGCAAAGTTTGTTTCATCTTCCTTTACTGAAAATCCTTGATTTTCTTCAGAAACATAAACATCTTGTTAAGCACACTTAGTATTATTTTTTCTTTCTGTTTCATGGCTTCCCCAGCTATGATTAATAACATGTTCTCTATATCACCACACTCTCCAAAATGTTATTACAAGAACCAAACCCTAGCTCTCACTCACTCCAGTTTCTTGTCATCCGCATCTTTTTTAAGGTTAAAGAGGAAAACCCTTTTCTCAAATATCAAATCTAACAAGCCCTTAGCACCAAGACCTCTTGTTTTTGCACTTCAGTCCAACTTCTTCAAAGGTTTGCTTTTACTCTCTCTTTCTTTTTTATTCTTCTGAATAAGCATTTTCATGTGAATGGGTGTTTAAAAATGATGTGATTGAGAACTTGGTTTATAGTTTAGATTAGTAACATTAAGACAAGTCAATTTTCTGGATAAATTCTATCATAATTCATTGATTTGGGACTGTGTTTCAATGTGGGTCTTTTGAATAGTACGTTTTTTGTAGAAGCACGTGATAAAGTGATAAGCTGTAGAGTTCATGCTGATTCAAGAATCAAGCGTGTTGGGTTCAATTTCTTGTTCTCAGTTTGTACTGACAGCCTGTTTGAACTTTATTATTAGTTATTCAAACTGTATGGAAGGTTGGGAAGGATGGAATTGAAGCTGGATCCAATCTCGTGCCAGTAAGTTCATCTTTTTTTTTTCTCATGTGGTTATAGTGTTCGGATTAACATCATAGTTGAAAATACTCGTTCCTATGTTTTTGAGTTCAGGACTCTGTACCGAGGCCTATCGCAAGGATTTCTGTTACAGTAGTTGCTCTGTCTGCGGCACTTTTTGTACTCAGGTCATTCCTGTCAACAGCATTTTTTGCGCTGGTATGTTGTATTTCTTTCTCTACGTATATGATTATGTGGTGATTTTGCTGCTGTATATCCTGTGTATGATTCATATTTATGGTAGATTCAGTTCTAGAAGTTAAACATTTCAGTAGGAACAAACACTTGTGTGTTGCTTTGGAGGTACAAAATGGGCCTGTTGTTCCTTAAAACTTAGATGCAAGGAGAGGGAACAGACCCTTATCGACCACTACACATATAACTGCCAGCAAATATATGGTGCGATTCTCATTTTGCACTTATATAGTTAGAAGGTCTTTATATTAGAATGAACTCGTAACCTACGTCGTTCAAACTCTTCATTTTTCCTGAAGTACTTATGTCAGAGATATCAAGATCCACAGAGGATACATAACCGTATTTGCCACTCACCCTCGAAATCTGAGTAGCATATCATGTAACCTAGTAGAATGTGATATGTACAAAAAAAACCACTGCCTTAAAGCCATAGTAGGTTACCTTTTCAGGGATCCCTTTTGAATGATGCTTTCCGTGCAAAACTGTCACAAATGGCAAGTGCTGCTACTTAAATCTAAATCTAATAACAGAGCTATATTCTCTTCGTGCTGATAAGTCAACAGAAGATGACGCCATCTTTTCCTTCTGAAATGCAAAATATAAAAATTTGATTTAGCAGCTTGAGCTAGCTGTGTATTTGATACACAATCTGTACGCCAGTGGGTGATTGTTATTCACCATTGAAAAAAGAACCCGGAAAGCATCCTTATGAACCACAAGAAGAAACGTGAACAACATAAATCACAACCCTCACTTATTGGTTTCCTTGGATGCCTGCAAGTGCTGCAGGTCACAACTTATAGAGTAGAAATAATAAGCCTATGCTTGAATCAGGTGTAATTTGCATTTGTAACATTAGAATAACTTAGGGTCACCAGCTGTCTTACCGTTAAGGTTTTTGAGAAGTTATTTCATGTCTAATCCTACTTTTCATTCACTTCTACTCAAGGAATATGGCAGGTCATTAGTCATTACAATTGTTGCTCCAATTCCTTTCCCAGAATATTTTAACCGCATGCCTATGTATTGAACTTCATCTTTTCAATTAACTTGTTAAAATCACGGCTGTCGCTAAAAATAAATGTATTTTGATTTATAGTCAAATTATCTGGACAGATTTGTATTTCTATTATGTTTAATATGAAAACTGATTGATCATTATAAATGCTGCAAAAAGTCTGTCATTCACCTCCCCTTCTTGTTGACAAGGTGGTGGCAGCCGCTACAGGTAATGCACCATTTTATCATGATGAATAATGTGTTCTTCTGGATGACCAGGCCACGATGGGACTTGTTTATTTCGTGTTTATTGCCTTGAACAAAGATCAAGGGCCAAGAGGAGGCGGTGGCAGCAGAAGTGGCTCCATGGAAGACCCTGTAGAAGAAGCAAGAAAAATAATGGAAAAGTACAAATGAAGAATGCATGATCATTGATAGTTCTCCATAATCCAAAATTTTGTATTACACTTCCATATTGTGTATGTACTGCAAAAAAAACATATATACATTTTTCTCTTCACACAATTCATCTGCTGGCTTTAGGAGCATGTTCAGATAAATTTACAGACAAAGGTGGTGTGCTTGTGTTATTTTCATCAAAACTTTTAACGTTTCCAGCAGATTACTAAGGTATTCTGGATAACATTTCATATAATGTAATAGTAAGCAATGGTATTTCACATTCAGACAAATAGCCTTGTTTGGCGTGTAAGACAGTAAGGAAATTTGTAAGGGAACCGATGAGTATGAAAACACCGCACGTTCACTCTTCTCAAACAGTGTCAAAGCTTTCTGCATGTGATTCATATGTTTTTATTTTCACGTACGTACAGTCACAGCCGCCCACAAATATCTATCAAAAAAGCAAGCTCTGCTAATAAGCATATAGAGATATTTTGGGTGGAAGTAAGGTTCAGTTGCACGTAGAGATATTATAATGAGTGATAAGTATCAAACTGATTCTTGAACATCATTTGCAAAGGAAAGAGTGAAATCAGCATATCTTTTTTTTTATTTATTTATTGTAAAAGCATGTAGTAGAAGAATTAAAGCAAAAACAATAGCAATTACGCTCTAGCAAAAAAATAAATTGCTAATCAATCCTCATTCTCTCTTGATTCATAAACGAAGAGATAAGTCAAGCTTTTGATCTTTGTCCTTACGATCAACCCTTCCAATGCCTTGATTATTATTGTCCGCCATTGCTAGCTGTTGAGTACTGAAGTCACCGTTGCACCTTATGCTCCTTTGCCAATCGAAGCAACTTTGCTCGTCCTCTTCAGCTTGATGATTTTGGCAATAACCATTGCTACTCTCACCATAAAACCCACCATTATTACCAAACCTGGCCGCACCATTCGACCCAAACATGTCGGATAAATGGTGATGATTCGGGAAATAACGGAAGTTGGCAGCATGAGCTGTTATATACATCGGAGGGTGTAAGAAACTCAAATGGTGGCTCGCTGCAGCCGGTGCATAAACAATCGGTAATGTCGGCGAAGACGACAAGTTACCGGTCGGTCCATATTCTGATGCCCTTTTAGCCTTCCGTGCAGCACTTCTTTCTCTCTTGTGAGCATTTTGATGGCCTCCCAATGCTTGAGAACTGTCAAACTTTCTCGAACAAAATAAACAAGGGAAAACCCTTGTTGTCCCATCGTCAGAAACAACTTTTTTTCGATGGACATCTTCAATACCTGTGGACAAACTACCAGTTTTCATGCAGAATGTAACAAAACAAGACAAAGAAGAAAAAAAAACTTTGAAGTAGTAGTGTTGGGGGAAGCTTGCAATTTGCATCTGGTGGGTGAGATGATCTGATGGTAAAAATAGAGTTCAGAATTCAGAAGTTAAGTTGTGAAGAGTTGGAAAACGTGAAGAGTTCTGAAACATAATAATTATTAAAATGGAGATTGGAGAGTGTAATGTATGGGCATTGGAGCAGAGAGATAAAGAGATAAGTGGATGGAGCTATTCTCCAATACGTTGCTGCATGCTGAACCTGAGAAGAAATGTTTTGAATTTAATGGAAAAGAAGATTATGTCATCAATGGAAGTCAGAGTGCATCAGTGGGGCTGAGCTTGGAAGATGAGGTTTCGGTGGCATATGTGGAACGATTGGGGTGCCTTAATTAAAAGTCTGACTCAGTCCCCACTTGATCTGAAACCCTTTTCTGCATGCAAATTGGCTCTTGTGCTGCTGCAGTCAGCCAGCAAGCGTTGCTTTCTTTCTCAACCGCTAATCTGCAATGCAATTTGTGGAGATATTGGAGAACCCAATGCTCTTGGACTCGTCTTGGTCCTTGTGTTCGCCTCACACATACGGCATCCCTCACCTGTTTAAATTGTGATTTTAGTCCCCGAGTTATGCTCCACTTTAAGATTTAATCATTATTTTTCAATTTAATATATATTATTATTATTACTATTATATCACCACTAACATGTCTAATAAAATACCGTAATACAATTTTAATGAAATTACTATGAATTATTTGGTACAGATTAGGAGTGAACAAAACTCGACTCGATTCAATTTGAAAATTGATCTTTTTGAATCGACAAGAATTGATTAAAATTTATAAAATTTCAAATTTGAGTCGAGTTATAAAATAGAACTCGAATAATAGCTCAAAACTTTTAGTAATTAGTAAATTTATTTTCAAATTTGAGTCGAGTTCCTCAATTATGTATGATATATGTATATTACATATGAAAAAATATTAAGGAATATATATGTATTGTATATGGTTATAAAAATCGTTTAAATTAGAATCAAATAGTAACATAATATTATAAATATTTACAATTAAATTTAATAGAAGCTAGAATAACTCGACTCGAATAAAAAATGTAAATAAAATTTAAATTATAAAATAAGATTCATCAAATCAATTTAACGCTCACCTCTATACAGACTCCTATTTAGATCCAAGAATTATCGTGGCTATATGATTAGTTCGGAGAGAGATCGAACACAAATTTTGTAAAACAAGCCCACGGGCCGATGGACTTCAAACTCCCGGACCCAGTATAGACGAGTTATAGAATACCTGGGCCAGGTCGATGGCGGCCCGTCATTCACCGTCTTAAACAAATCCAAAACCCAGGGGACTCGAATCTGGGTGTTAGGGAAGTAGCCCAGGAGGAGTGACGAGAAGGATGACAGGTCATACTTGTAGGACCCATGGTTTGATAGAAATCAACTACATGCAGACCACGTGTAAGTGCAGCAACCCATCAACAAGATAAGAGGCGGTTGTATCCGATTGTTTACCCACCCCCCTCTTCTCATTTTTTTAAACCTTCTTCATTCACCTATATATAAATACAAATAAATAGTTAAAAATTAATAAGGGGAAGGAGGTTTGATGTTTAAGTTGGTTTATTTCAATTCAATTATTGTTGATCATAATTTTCCACGGTTCTTTTACCTTTCCGACGCCATCTCAACTTCCCTTTTAGAGATCGGATAATATTCAGTTCCCGAATTCCGTGTTCCCTCCTGTAAATCTTCTTTTTCTCTATATATATATATATATTTAATTGTTAAAAGTATGTTTTTCTATGCATGAATGATCTGTGTTATTATCTCCAGTGAGGTACTTTTGATTTTTTTTATGCAATTTGTAAAATTGATGATGATATAAACCAGGAATCCTTTTAGGGGCTAGGGTTAGGGTTTGGATAAATTGGTTGGAAGTATTGGTATTTTAGATGAGGTGCTATGTTAGGTTTTTATGAGGTTTGGATGAATTTCTTTCTTTTTTCTGGAAAGCAACTTGTATATCTGTGTGTGTATGTGTGTTATATTCTATTTTGAAGTTGTTGAGGAGATCAGGTTTCTAGTTCTATGTGAGTTAATTGGTTGGATTGAAAAGAGTATCCGAGCACAATTTTTAGCTACTTTATAGATGTTTAATTCAATAATCGACTTTGAAAAAAGTTTTATTTGTGGTGTTCATAGAAAAAAGTTGTGCATAAATGAAAAAACTTTTGGTTGTTTGAACTGATGACTGTTATATAAAATTGCAGTCTCACATGTTTATCCTCAAGGTACTGGGAATTTAGTCTCATTGAGCATAAAAAGTTTGAGGAAGTGTAGTTGCATTGATGGTTCAACCAACCATTACAATATTTACCTCTAAATTGTTTGGATGGTTATATGCATTTTTCCTTCTCTCCATTGGTAGTTGGTAGAAATTTTAGATTTGGATATATCTTGAATCTGACAATTTTTTTCTCTTTTTTACCTGACTGCAGGTATGTTGGTCTTATGGTTCATGAACTAATTCTTAGTTGCTGAATCAAGGGTTCTTTTTGATCAAGTTTTCTAGGACTAATCACAGTGCATTATATTGTTCAGAGATTTGGAGCTTTGCATCTGGCTTTTTCTTGTGAATTGTATTTTTCTTTGTAAAAGTTAACAAGTAAGGATTCTATAGTTTTTTCAGTTGGTAGCACATAGAGACACAGAAAGCAGCTGTAGGAAAATTATTTAAAGTTCAGCCTCGTGGTAAGTTTATATCCAATTAAATGTTCAACTGCTTTCCTTTTGTTATAGAAATATTGATTGTGCTTGGTATGTCACTCATTTATTAGATTGGCTTATGTCTCCCTTGCCCACATTGATGTTATAGAAATATATGGTTCTTCTTGTGTTTACTTTATTTTTATATATTTGTATGTGAAAAAATTGGAGAAGTGATATTTTCAAGTTTGAACATCTAAATGTTATTTCTACAGACCACTGAATGTCGTTAAGTTCTATGTTTTGAGTTGAAAAATTAAGGAACAATTTAGGGAACTTCATTCAAAATTTTAGTAGGTTTCTGTTTTACTGAGCTGATTAGTGTTAGTGAAGATATAGGAAATGTTTTGGCTGGTGGTTTTTATATTGCCTTTGTCTAGATGGATAGTAGGTATCCGTACCCTCCTTTCTGGCCCTAGTTTCAGACATGTGACTGTGATGTTGTAAGGAGTGGTCTAGCAACGGATTTCCAAAAGTAGTCCTAGAAAAAAGGTAAGTTCTTATCAATGGTTTAGCTTGTCACCCCTTAAATGATTGTTGATCATGTCAAATGGGACCTTTTGATAATGGAAGATGGTTGCATCCCCCCTTCACTGTCACATGATTCTACATTGCTACCATTATTTTCTCTAGTCACAGAACAGGGTTAATGATAGAGATGGTCGGGCGCGCTATATCCAAGTTCAATTTATTTCTTAATTATTGGTCTAACATTCAGCATATTGTTACTGGAGCATGTTTTAGACTATTGCTACTTGAATTAGGCTATATTTCAAGGGGAATTGTTAAACAACTTACCAAAATTTTTCTGGTCGGCTATGTAGTTGTTGATAAAGTTATGAAGTGAAAAAAAAAATCTTACCAAATGTATTGTGGTTTGCATAATTTTCCATTTCATATCGGTTTGTGGATGTTCTGCAAATTATGAAGAGCAAAGGACTTCCTTTATATAGGTATATGGGTGTTTACCTTATGAGGGGAGAAAGTTTATCAATAAAATCACATGAAATGAACATTTTGTCACCCAAAATAGAAAGAAAATTGAAACAATAATCCTGAGTGCCATTATATGCGAACTTAGTGGTACAAGGAATCATTGTAGTACCATAAACCATGTTGCCAGTATTTTTCCGCTAATCAACTTGTGAAATTAGTATTTGGAACAATTAGTGGTACTGGGTAAGATATAATAGTTCGTGCCAGATCCTTCCATTGTGATGCATGCTTGTCCTTGTGAAATGCACTTCATCTTAACTCCCTTCCATGTATGGGGCCAAAGATTTTTTTTCAGACGCCTTTTTACTTCTATCTAAACTAGTATCGGTGGTTGACCCCTAGAAGGCTATCAAGTACAGGCTTTTGAGTTTTGAAATGAACATAACTCTGCATGTCATTATTAGTGTGCTTGAAAATTCTTGGGTCTTTCTCGCACGCTATTGGCCCAGGTCCTCCTCCACTCCCTGAGCTGAAAGCCATTGTGAAAGGCATTGACTTTTTTCTCTTGTCGGACTGGGCGATGAAGGGAAGGTTAATTATAGAGAGTGATTGTAAATCGGTAGTGGATTGGATTTTGCTGCCGACATCATCTCCTCGTTTTTTTAGTTCGTTGGTTCAGAAAATTGCTTCCCTAATCTTGGAGAGGGAGATCATTATTAGACACATCCCGAGGAGCTGCAATTGTGAGGCTGATACTTTAGCTAAACAGGGGGTTGGTGGTCTATTGAGGTTGTTGGGGCTGAGTTAGTTTTGGTGTTGTTTAAGGGAGGTCTGGTCGCATTGGGGGTTTAGTTTCTAAGTTCTGTAATTTTTAAGGTTTTGTTAGTCTGTCTTCTGGTTGTATTTTATGTACTTTGTCTTTGATTAATAAAATCCTAAGGCACTCTTTTCCTCCTTCCGCTGATTAAGGAGCTTTCCTAAAAGATCCATTAATCAAGAAGGGGGTTTTTAATGAAGCCTGAAATTCTTATAAAAAAAAAGAAAGCTGTTGTCAAGGAAGTTAGGGAATTTTCATTCCTTTACCCTCCTGCATCGTGCCTTTCTTAGAAAGAAAGAAATTGGGGTTTGTGGAAGATGATCAGCTTTCCTGAATTTTTTGCTTGTCTTTCTTTTTTCTCTGATCTTGGGTGTATCTGGCTGGTTGCTTTTCCAATTCTGTGAAATGATGCCATTTTTTCCTGTCTCGTTTTACTAGCCAATGGTACCTAGGTGGAAACTTTTGAAAATGTTCTTTGCACGGTGCTGATTGTTGGTTATAGCGTTCACTATGTGGTTTATTTATTTTTTATTAATGGACTATTGTCTCATTACCTAATGAGTTCAATATGCTGAGTAACTTTACACGGCATGTGCAAGATGGCTGGGATTAAACGAAGAGCAAATACTGATTTGGATGCCCATGCTTTCCATAAAGAACTGGATGAAGTTTCATGTCCAATCTGCATGGAACATCCGCACAATGCTGTTCTCCTCTTGTGCAGCTCGCATGAGAAGGGTTGCAGATCTTACATCTGTGATACAAGTTACAGGCATTCAAATTGCTTAGACCGATTTAAAAAATTAAGGGATAATTATAGTAAGAGTCCAATATTACCTCACCCCACACCCATAAACCCGCAGAATTCTATTACTTCTGGTATGAACTTGAGAACAGAGTTTATTGAAGGTAATGGAAGTCGAAATCTCAGTGAAATAAATCTTGATTCACAAGAAGGCATTGTAGGTACAGGGGAATCTTTTCAGGGAAGAGCTGAATTTGAAGAATTCGATGCAGGGAATACATCAAACTCTAGATCTAGTTTGAAATGCCCTTTCTGTGGGGGGAACATACTCGGCTGGAAGGTTGTGGAAGAGGCCAGAAAATATCTAAACTTGAAGAAGAGAACTTGCTCCAAGGAATCTTGCTCCTACAGTGGCAATTACCAGGAATTGCGTCGGCATGCAAGGAGAGTTCACCCAACGACACGACCTTCAGATATTGATCCATCCAGAGAACGAGCCTGGCACCGTCTTGAGCACCAAAGAGGATATGATGATACTGTAAGTGCTATTCGATCTGCCATGCCGGGTGCTGTTGTGGTTGGAGACTATTTCATCGAAGATGGAGATAGGTTGGCTGGTGAAAGGGAGAATGGAACAGGTGAAGCGTGGTGGACTACTTTCTTTCTGTTTCAGATGATTGGTTCAGTTGACAGTGTTCGTGAACCCAGAGCAAGGTCCCGAGTTTGGTCAAGGCATCGACGTCCTGAGCATAGGTTCCTCTGGGGTGAAAATATATTGGGTCTGCAAGGTGAGGACAATGAAGATGATGTGCACATATTGAGTGATGGCGACGCATCTCCGATCCCAAGAAGGCGAAGAAGACTGATGCGCCCAAGATCAGATGAAGATCAGTCATGAAAAAGGACTCAGATATTTGGGGGTGGTAAATCCCAGTTTCTTGACATGGACTCGTTTCAGATTGTTTTTCTTAACATTGATGTCCCGTTGTTGTGTGTGCATAATAACAGTCTTGCTGGTTTCAGAAGCTATCAGCTAAGCTGGTTTACCGGTTGTTTCAACTGGGATTCTATATTAAAAGTCTTACGTGTTATTCTGGTTTTAGGCGGTTATGCTTACAGTGTACTGAAACTCTTGTTGCAGCGTCCCATTTATGCAATTAAAGATATTGTACTGGTTTTTATTCATCGTTTTACATTTTGATTTTGATTTTTTTTTTAGAGAATATGAATTATTAACGGGTCAGATCAAGGTTGATTGATTCAAATAAAAATAGTATATTTGATGATAATTTGATGTAGAAATCACTTGTTGAATATAATGTGTATATGTTGGTATTTCAAGGGAACTTTAGAAGGAACAATAAATCTTATTATATTGATGTAAAAATATCTTATAAATACGAGTTGTAGATTGTAGTGTGATGTAGTTGATGAATGTACAAGTGAATGAAGAAAAAAGAAAGAGTTGTGTAAGCTTAATAAAGCTTCTGAGAGTTTGAAACTAGCACAAGTTATTATTATATAATTATATGTATTTGGTTTGTGTAATGGGTCAAAAAAATCTTTTCAATTTCAGTTTGAAAAAAATATAAAATTAATTCAATGGACTTTCAATACTTGTTAATTAAATTATCCGAACCAGTCAATTAATACACCTAACCGGAATATATGAAGCCTCAATCCTAGTCCAGCTTGCTGGACTTCGTTAGTAGCTTAACTGTTGATTATGAGCCATGTTGTTTCTTGAAGGAATTACTGCAGCAGTTAACCATCTGAGAGTCATATTGATAAGTTCATTAAACACGTCGTCTTACTTATTCCATGAACACCGGAAAAGGTGTTTGAAAGGGCCAAAGAGAAAGCGGCAATGGAGGCGCTCAGTCCAAAGTCGACTGCCTGCCGTGAGTGCAACAACGGTAACCAATGGTGCCGTGTCTGAAACTTCACCATCAACCACCAGTGATTAAAGTTTATGCAAATTCATCATCTTACAACCTTGGCCACCCCTGCGGCAAATCCTGATCCTACTAAACAAGAATAATTCTGAGTTCATTTGTGAATCTGATACTTTTTCATCTGATGCAATAGACTCATAGTGCCTTGAAAATTTCCGAGATAGTCTTGAATTTGTAGACATTTTCGATTGGTCGATACAAAAACTGCAAAATGATATTTTCTCATTGAATCGATTTCTTCTCCATCAACAACTTTTAAAACTCTCAAGCAAAATACAAAACCAAAAACAAAATATTGGGGTGAGAGAGGCTCGAACTCTCGACCTCAGGATTTCTCAGGTAAGCTATGAGACCTACGCGCTAGCCAACTGCGCCACCACCCCACTGATGTTTCTTCTGGTAACATTAATTATTTATATTTAATTTTAACCGCTTTAAAAAGTCACATATTTTCGACGTTTGCATCAATGTTTAAATAATATAATAAATTATATTGTTTGAAGTGACAGACACAAATTTTAAATATAAATAATAAAATTAATAATCCTTTTCATTATTGGAAGTTAGTTCTAATATGGATAAAACAACGCTCACCTATTTGTGGGAAATTTACAGGTAACAGAAAGCAAAAAGGACTTTTTAAGGATGAAGCAACCCCAAGCCCAAGGGAAGAAGACATTGTTATTTCAAGATGATCAAATTTATATACAAATATTATTAAAATTATATCCTCATTTTACTTTTAAAATTAATATTTTAGTGGGCGTAATAACTTAACTTTTAGGTAAATGAATTTAAAGTTAGATGACGTTTAAAAATGTGTTTGTGTGTATATATATAAAACCATATTAGAATATTAAATTTATATAAATAAACTTATTGTTGCGTTAAATTTATATAAATTTACGAATATGGTATAAACATGCAGTGGAGAATCTAAGAGATTAGGCCTTTAATTCAAATTATCAAACCCCTATTATGTATTTTTTTTAAAGTTCTAATTCAATTTACGTCTCTGACCCTTCAAGAATTTTAATTTACGTTATAATAGAAAAAATAACATGAATATTTCAATATATATATATATATATAAGATTATGCAGAATATTTAAACAATGTAATACACCACATTTGAAAAAGGAAAGAATAAATGGTGATAAGATTATCTTAAACATGTACTGATTTTTACTTGAATTTTATTCATCTTTTTTATTTTAAATTTAAATTTATATAAACTATTTTTTATGTTAAATAATTTATATGCCATTAAAAATATTTTAAAGATGCTTAAGGATAATGAAGATAATATACTCATAACAAAAATTATATAAAAATTATTAGTAAAGGAAAAAACTTTTTTATTTGGCATTCTAATGTTGTTCTATGGTAGTTTTTTTTTTTAATCTCAATAAAACTTATACATATTTGACTGACAAAACTATTTAAACTCAAATCACTTATATATTAGTTCAAATAGATTTATATATTATTGTTTTTAAATTAAATTATCTTTCATGGATTAGAGCAAAAACAAATAAATTATGTTACCTTTGTGAAGTATCTACAGGGGTTTGGTCCATCGGTCACAATTAACAATTTGAAATTGTCATTCCATAAAGACATAACAAAATCCTCCTTTTGAGGATCTCCTTTGGTGGCTTTGTTTTCCGAATTGAAGGTCAGTGGTGCTCCATATCTATTAATATGGAGCGTTTGCAAATGCCTTGTGTCTGAGTAGTTGTGTGGTGCTTAACAGATGAAGATGGGTCAAATGTCACATTCTTCCTCTCAACAACAAGAGCAATTGCAACAGCAGCAGCCGTCACAGCAACTGCAACAGGTTGTACTTCAATGAGAATTAATTGAAGGATCTCGTTCATGAGCTGAACTGTGAGCTACTTTACAAGAAAAATATTCTTTTAGCAACTATAGTGTTACTCCCAATTAAAATACGATTTTGTAAATGGTTTTTTCATTAAAAAAAATTTCTGGTTAAAACTAATTCACATTCTGTGACTGTTCATTGCATTGCAGAATAACAGAAAAAGGAAGCAACACTCTTCTTCTGGAGCATCTAACAGCACTGGCACGGGAAACACTGTTGGCCCTTCACCCAATTCACCACCGTCAACTCACGCACCTGGTGATGCAATAAATACTACAACCAGTTTGCAGCATGTTAATGGTTTCTAAAAGCATGATGTATGGCGCAGATGCAACGGCGGGTCTTACATCATCTTCCAATCTGTTGGTAGGCCATATAAAGATTTTGAAATAGCATTCAGAGTCCAGCGTGCTGCAGAAGCCACTCTAGTTTTGTTACACACAAAAGCATTAGAATGCTTCACCTAGGATTTTATCTGCATTTGTTCTAGCGATTTATGAATATATCATGTAACCTAACTCCAAGTGATAATTTTATCTTTCAGCACAGACATCAGAATACTATTGACTAGTGAAAGGATACAAGTGATGCTTGTTTTTTAAGTTGAGCTAATAGTTGTGTTGATGTGCATTTCTTAAATCCTTTCTTTAGTGAGCAAGTTAATAAAATGCTGAAATTACTTCTAAATTCTTATAGCATCATTACCTCATGCAGGAAGACATGGATAGGTTTGATCCTTTGGATGAAAATATGGGGTCACTACTTTCACAAGAAAGCGATGGAAGGGACATCTATGGTGCCATTAAACAATGTCCAACTGAGCACCAAAAGGAGTCTGCTAAAGGTAAACCCAGTACATCTTATGCCTTTACCTTTGATGTATTTTTTAAGTGTGCTTACTTCAAATTCTCTATTTCAGGCTTCACTTTTGCTGAGTTTGGTTGTATACAGACCAGAAACAATGAAGTTACTTCCTGTCATTTTTCTTCTGATGGGAAGGTGTTGGCTAGTGCTGGACATTATAAGAAGGTATTTCTTTATATAGTTCTATTTTCCAATTCTTTCCCCTCAGCATTAAGTTTAGAAATATAACTTCTTCGAGTGAAAAACAAATTTGAACTACAGCCTTTCTCCTATAGACATTGTTTGGCAATTCTGTCCGTGTGAAAACAATAGGAGCGGAGTTGTTCATGTTCAGGTAGGTTCAAAATGAGACAAATTTAAGGTTAGTGGGGGAAAAGATACAAGTAAACCTGATTAGACATTGTGGCAAACAATTTTCCTAACTTTTGTGACTTAATAGAAAGTTTCTCAAAAGAGGATTTGGATGATAGAACCTTCGTTGTTCTTGTAGAGAACTTTAAGCTGGCCTGGCAATATATATCTGGTTTAATTGTTCTACTACTGAAGTATGCATAAGAAAAAAGGTTGAAGCAATCTCTTTTCAGAAAGATGACACAGTGGCTTGCATTTCTTTCATTAGGTGGTGTTTTGGAATATGGATACCCTGCAAACAGAGAGTGCTCCAGAAGAACACAAATTGGTTATTACAGATGTTCGCTTTAGACCAAATTCATCTCAGTTGGCAACGGCTTCTTTTGATAAAACTGCACGATTATGGGATGCAGCCAATGTAATCATCTTCTGCTTAAAACTTGGATCTTTGTTGAAGTTTTGTGGATATTTGTGATTTCGGCTTTTGTTATTCTATACTCCGTTTGCTGTCAGTTTTCTGGTGTTGTAGACTTTTATGAAGCATGCGTGATAAATCTTTCTGTGCTACTGTGGTTAACAAGCAAAGTTCATTGTCACAGCCAAGCTATTGTGTGAAAGCATACAGTGGTCACACTTCACCTGTGATGTCCCTTGATTTCCACCCCAAGAAGACAGACTTATTTTGCTTTTGTGATAACCACAATGAAATTCGTTATATGAATCTTAATACATTCTCATGCACCCGGATATCCAAGGTTCGTGACTATACTTTTCAGGTCTGTCCTCTTCAAGATTCACAAAGTTATGGTGCATTACATTTTATAGATTTAGTTTCTTCTCTCTTTTTTCAGCATTTACGTTAATTCCTGATGCAGGAGGGAGGTATGGCCCAAGTAAGATTCCAACCAAGAATTGGACATTTTCTGGCAGCAGCATCAGATAAAGTAGTGTCCATATTTGATGTGGAAACTGATAGGCAAACATTAACATTTCAGGTATGGCTTGTGTATTCTTATCGCCCTAGTAATAGCTCGATGACAGATCTTTCAGTCTTGAAATGTCTGTCATACTGAAGACGAAAGCGAGAGTTTATTCATGTGTTTTTCCTCTTTTT